ATCAATTCATTTGTACAGGCTCAATCCAAGGTTGCAAAGACTCATTTCAGCTAAAATAATGTTTTTCGGAATAATAAATCCAAAAGATGGTATGATGGCATGTTTTACTTGTAACTTACTAGAAGAGGTTACAACATTGTTTTAGCTGAAATGAGTCTTTGCAACCTTGGCTCAATCGAATAAATTTTACAGAGCCAAGTTATGGTTTTATGGTTTGATTTATTTATTCTATAAAATTCCATCTGACTTCAAGTCTAAATGAAATATGGGATAGGAAAAAGCTTTTTTGAGATACCACATTTGACTAAAAAAGGCGTAAAAACCCCATATCTTTTCAAAAAAACAGTACACATTAACGTTTTCACAAGGCATTATATGGTATACAGATTATAAATAAAACATAAATAAGTTCTTAAAGTGAATCAATCAATGAAACAATTTTTAGTTGGCAATTGCAAACAGGTCACTCGTCAGATGGCAGGAACCATCGTGTAGATGATGGCGAATCATGGAACAAAAAAAAACTACAAGGGACAGCCCTATGGGGTGGTACGCTATGGTGACGTAGGACTACGTGGTCTTATATAATAAATGGTAATGTGTATCTTTATTCAGCCAGGTATTAATCTGAACCATATTTTAATTATTCTCCTTACCTCATTTTTATATTTTCATTTTCTGTTCTATTTACTATCGTACAGATTTGTCTTGAATCTGATGAAATGTTTTTATTCAACAGATTGCGTTCAACGTATCCACATCGTATAATAGCCGCACCAAGCAGACCGCTCGTAAGTTCACCGGAGGAAAGGCTCCTCTCAAACAGATGGCCAGATGGATGAGTGAAGAACTCTCATCGCTACCGGCCAGGAACTGTCGCTCTGCGTGAGATCCGTCGTTACCAGAAATCGACCGAGCTGCTGACTACAAGTTGCCTTTCAAGCGATTGGTCCGTGAAATCGCCCAGGACTTCAAGACCGATCTGCGCTTCCATAGCTCGACCGTTAATGGCCCTACAGAAATTCAGCGAGGCCTATCTGGTCGGTCTGTTCGCCATCCACGCTAAGCGTGTTCCATTTTCGGTTTTCACAATGTGTACCCCCATATAGAAATCACAGACGTCCTACGTCAAAACCGTACGGTCGTGTCATGGATACAACCTCTTATTCTTTTTGTCAACATTATTTTCATAAGGCAAATCAACTGATTTCTTATCGCGAACTTTGCTAACGCTGCTTTCGAACATTTAAAAGTTCAATAAATCATCAAAACCTCTTTCACGTTGGAAATCGATTTGTGGCCCTGAAAAGGGCCGATTGATTGTTTGGATGGTACGAATTTACTTGGAGCTAGTGTACTTGGTTACGGCCTTGGTTCCTTCAGAGACAGCGTGCTTGGCCAACTCACCCGGCAGCAGTAGACGGACAGCAGTTTGGATTTCGCGGGAGGTGATCGTCGAGCGTTTGTTGAGCCAGGCGGGACGACTCAGCAGCAATACGTTCGAAGATGTCATTGACGAAACTGTTCATGATGCTCATGGCCTTCGACGAGACTCCGGTGCCCGGGTGGACCTGCGCTGTCTCCTCTTCTTCTTCTCTCCCTTGACGACGACTTTCTGCGCCTTTCCGGACTTCTTGGCGGCCTTTCCACTGGTTTTCGGTGCCATAATTTAGCTGTTCGCTTCGGTAGAGAAAAACTGATAGTCGTTTCGACGGTGGTGTCTCGTTTTGTGCTCGTAGCATAAGAAGAAACTCCTCTCCTTTCCAGTATTTTGCTACTCACTGTATGTATTTTACCCTCCCTGTATTAATAATATGCTACTCGACGCAGGTATAAGTATACCCTCGATGAGTGAAATAAACCGACCTATCTGGTCGGTGTATTCGCCATTCACGCCAAGCGTGTCACAATCATGCCAAAGGACATTCAGCAGGCTCTTCGTATTTGTGGTGAACGCTGTTAATTTTTCCGTCGAAATCTATCAAAACTGGCCCTTTTCATAGCCACTAAAAGATTTCACAAGAGAGTTGGGAAGGAAATTTCTGCTGCTTACAACTGATCGCATCACAGTGAATCCTGATCCAAAAATTGCAACCAGCAAGTGTCCTAGAACCAAAAGCGGTGCGATGCTATGACGATGACTGTTAGGGGCTTAGAAGCCAATTTGCTTTTTCGATTTGTGATGACCATAGCTTCCTATTTCGCACTATTTCTGCTATGCTCTTCTATCATCCACAACAATAAACGTATCAATGAATGTGTTTGCCGTCGAGTTAACGTTTTCTGACCGTGCACTTCGTAGTTGCTCCTCCGTTAATGATTACAACTAATCCACTTGCACAGAGAACTACATAGATGGGTGCATGGGATAACCTTTCCATCTTCAATTTACAAGCACATTAATTCAATCTATAGATAAATTCACAGCGCCGGCCACGTCCTCACGGTCTTTTGGGGAGGGAAAGATGATTAATTCGACGTCCGGTTGTTACTAGAGACTGTCTCGGGAAGGATAGTTGTGTAAGTGAGGTAGGTTATTTTTAGATTAGGATTCACTGTGATAAGTGATGCGATCGGTTAAAGCAGAATTTGTTCTTTATTTAAATCTAGTGGGGATAGAATAAGGCAAAGTGAAAAATTGCAAGGAAGGGGGAAGGCCTGGGATTGAACTCCCTACCTTCTGCTCAGTAAGCAGAAACGGTAACCACTGAACTACCGAACCTCATCGTAATGCTACATCGACATGTTTCGTCTACTTACTACTCTCTGACGACTGCGCTGGGGAAGCAGCATATGCATGTACGTAATTGGTGGATTTGTTAATTATTTCGACGCTTTTGGACAATGCTTGACATTTACTACTTTTTCAATAGTTTCCTGTTGAACATAAACAGTCAAAAGCATTGATATCGATGCGTAAGTGTAGCCCTGATCGATTGGTGATAAAATTATTGAAATTGGTTCCGGAGCAGCTGAGTAATTAACTTTCAAAATCTTTCTTAATATGTTATATGTTCCATTTTCGGTTTTAACAAAGTGTACCCCCCATTTAGAAATCAAAGGCGTAGTTCTACATAAAAAAAAACACCAGGTTAACATTCATTTTCCTAGTTAATTATTGGATAGATACTCACCAATTGCATTATTGATTGTTTCAATATCGTTGATTATTTTTAAGTTGGCGTTGCAGAGTAGTGGCAGAACTATTGAAGACAAATCTGCTGGCGATTTCGTTAAACCTTAGTGTCATGAATCTGATGGGATCATGTTGACCATAACGAGTGCGTCACACTTAGCTAAAGGCAAGAAATTGCGTCGTCTCAAAGGTCGTTCTGGAACATATATATATTCAATTCAGCGAGAATATCTGGGGCGTCAATATCGTTGGTCAACACCTTAGCCACGAATACAGCTTGCATAGTCGATCTTCTTTGTTCCAGGGTATCAATTCCCAGCAGCATACAGCGATGTTGATATGGAGGAAGATTCAGTGCGTCGTACCAGGTTAAGTATTGGAGGGCTTAGCGCACACACTTTTTCTGTACAGCCTCGAAGCGATCGATCCAGTTTCTATTGTATGGACATCATACTACTACGGCAGATTCCAAAATAGAGCCTACTAGGCCACAGTAGAGGGACTTCAGGCAAGCTTAAAGATGAACCCGAGCTGCTTGTTAGTTTCTGCTGACACATTTTCAGAATGTGGTTGGAAAGTGAGTTCACGGTCCAAGATCCCACCAAGATCCCTCACCTGATCCATGCGTTCGAGAGTTTTCCCAGATAGCTTGTAGTTGAAATATAACGGTTGACGCTTTCTACTAAATGAGATCGTGTTGCATTTGGCTATACACAAATCAAGATGATTGCGCTTGCTCCAGTTCTCAAACAAATCGAATAACCGTTGCACTCAAAGCAGTATTCAATACAATTGATTACCATAAACATCTTAACGTCATCTGCATAGAATATTCACTGTCCGCGTGGCAGAACAAATGAAACATCATTTATGAATAACGAGAAGAGAAGCGGGCCTAGATTACTTCCTTGCAGTACGCCGGAAGAAATGAAAAATTCATCTCACAGATCTTCCAGTCAGGTACGATCTAAACCAGTTTACTAGGTCGGAGGAAAGTCCAAGTTTCTCAAGTTTTCCAAGTAGGATATCATGGTTCACTCGGTCGAATGTAGCTTTGAAATCTGTGTATACGGCATCTACTTGCGTACCAGCGTCCATCGAGCGTATGCAGAGTGAAGAAAACTGTGTGAGATTTGTAGTGACGGATCGTTTCGGGAGAATCCATGCTGAGAACAGGATATGTAGTTTTTGCTAGCCTCAAAGAGAATATATTTAACGATAATCTCAAAAAGTTTAGAGCAGGCACTCTACGAAATAATTGCCCGGTAGTTGGCAACATTACATTTGTCCCCCTTTTAGTGAATCGGAGACAGGAATGAAGTTTTCCATCCAGCAGGAAATGTTTTCCTTTGAAACGAGAGGTTGAATAGTTTTACTAATGGTTTCAGCAGAGCACTTGAACATTTTTTTCAGTACGGTTGAAGGAATCCCATCAGGACCAGGTGATACCGAATTTTTTAACTTACGTAGACCATTTTGGACGTGCTCCTCGGTGATTTGAAAAATTCCAAGTTCAAAGCTGTACGGCGGAGTATTACTGAGGGCAGCGACGATCTGGGTTTGCGTGGTCAATGTATTCGAGAAGGCATTCTTGAAGTGATCGGCAAATAGCTCACTTTTACTAGACGCTAAACTAGCAGAACGCTCATCAAAGTACATGGATGTAGGTAATCCATCTTCCTTACGTTTAGTACGAACAAACGACCAGCATTTTTTCGGATGCACACGCAAGTTTCTTTGCGTTCGATCAATGTACCGAGCACACAAAATGCGATTGTACCGAGCATACTTGTTACTAGCAAGCGCAAAGCGATGCTTCAACTTTTGAGACCTATTGCGACTATACTTCCGAAGCGCAGATCGTCTACGGCACTTCAATTGGCGAAGGCTGGAGTTTGACCAAGGTGGCTTCAATGGCTTCGATGACGTGACGTATTTCCGTGTTGAACACACCAACCATTTCATCCAGATCCAGCTCAGAATCCAGGAATTCCCAATCGATCGAGGACAGTGCATCGTTTAGCAGGTCGTAGTCTACCCGACGAAAATCAAACTGGTTAGAATTATGAAGTGGGTCGTGAATCACCGGCAACGATATAGATACGGTGATATCAATAGCAGGGTGTGCTTTGTCAGTATCAACGAGTGATTCGGCTGCATCGGAAACACAACAGCTTTGTAACCCAGTATCATTAACGAGTACCAAATCGAGAATCCGTGAATTGGAATTCACAACGCCATTTATCTGTGTCAGGCTATGGAAGCAGAATGCATCGTACAACATACTACTAGCTGCCGTCAGTCGAGTCCTGCTGGAATCTACTTTGAGACCTCCATCTTCTGAAGGTATTCAATGCAATTGAGGGTGATTATAGTCACCGAGCTGGAAAGCGACATCATGAGGCACGATAAAACGGAATCGATAGATGTAATATGCTGCTGGGTGAGAAACAGATCATCTCTACGATCTGGTGGCAGATAAAACACTCCAAAGCTGACGGCACACATGGGAAGCATGATTTTAACCCAAAGCTGCTCAAGAGCATTACTAATCGGAGCCATTTTCATTTGCGTTATACATAATTAATGTCTTAAATCTTAAGTTAAAGGAATTTAACCGATTACTCGCGGTTGTCTCGAGTTAAGTAGAGACTTACATGAAGTAATGAAATTGGGTTGTTAGCGGAATGCTAAATAAAACAGCAAAAAAGGTTATCTTCCATTTAATTCCACTTAATTAATTTTGGTATCCATGACAGATACGTATTTCGACTACAATGTGCAGTCTTCATCAGTGTCATTCCCACTAAAGAACTTATCAAAATCTAACCCCCTTAAGTACTCATCCCCTAGGTAAAGAAAGTCAAGATCATAGGTATAAAAATGAAACTACAATGTGTTGAATCGGAACCTACCTAACTAATAAAAACCAAAGATTTAAGTAAGCTAAAGGAGAAAAATCTATACAACTCTCTAATTTTTTATATAGAGACTTACAGTTTTATGGATGGGGAGAGGGAGAAGGAGGTTTGAGATATGATTTACGATACAAATATATCATTTTTCCTAAAACATGAACTTATTTCTATTAAATTTGGTATCAGCAGTGTAATTATACAATTATTTTAGAAACAATCTTAAAAAACTCACGTGATCAAACTACAAACTAAATACAAGATTAGTCAAACTTACAATCTAAGGTTAATATGCTTAAAGAAAACATATGTGTAACGTAAACTCCAGATCGCGTCTACCCAAAATATCCCGAACTGTAACATTAAGTTGTCTACCTCGAGCCCGAAGGGAATCGTACAGCTCAGATCTGACTTCACGATGCTCAGCACAAGACCAAATAATGTGATCTGCATCCTGAAAACCTTGTCCACATTCACAGAGATTGCTGTCTCCCAGCCCAACACGAAACAAGTGAGCGTTTAACGAATAGTGATTGGACAGGAGGCGAGACATCATACGAATGAAGTCTCAACCCACATCCAGCCCCTTGAACCAAGGACTCTTCGACACCTTAGGGATGACTCCCTTCATTCCATTTATCCATTTATTCTGCCAGCTGACGAGTGACTGTTGACGATAAATGAAGAAAAATTCATCGTAGGCGACTTTTCGATCATAAATATCGCCTTTCATAGCACCCACCTTAGCAAGTGAGTCCGGCATCTCATTGTCCGGAATCGAGCAATGAGATGGGACCCATGCAAAGGTGATGACAAAAAATCTTGAAGATAAAGCACTTAGAAGCTTTCGTATTTTCAGGAGAACATACGAAGAGTGCTTTACCGACCTCATGGAGCGAATAGCCTAGACAGAACTGAGACTATCCGTAAAAATAAAATAATGATCTGGTGCAAGTGAGGCGATAGTTTCTAGCGTATAATGTATTGCCGCCAGCTCAGCAATATATACGGAACAGGGAGCTTGAAGTGTTCGAGATGCGGTATGAATACCAAAACCAGCGGACGCCTCTATTAGTAATCCATCTGTGAAGAACGATTTTGCGGAAGCAACTTGGCCGAACTTGGCAGATGAACGATGATATTCAAGGATCCCACGAATCTCCCGCGTCATAGCTAAATCAAAGCTAACTGAATTGCCGAAGTCGGAGAAGCATACACGATGCGGATTATGCTGTGAAGGGCTGACATCCAGCGTTATGTACCCGTAGTACAGGGTTTGAGGGTTTAGCTCATGAAGCTTCTCAAAGTTTTCGATTACCAGTGGGTTCATAACTTCACAACGGGTGAGGAGCCTCGAGGACAATTCCAAAAACAGATCAGAGAGTGGCGACATGCCCGCCAACACTTCGAAATCGTATGAGTCGAGTGCATGCGACCTAACGCAATACGAAGACAACGATACTGGATACGTTCCGGTTTGATGATGTGAGATTTAGCCGCCGACTGGAAACAAAAACTACCGCATTCTAAATCCGATAAAATCGTTATCGGGTACAACGTAAGAAGATCTTGTGAATGAGCTCCTTACCACGTTCCGGTTATTGTTCGGAGAAAATTGATCCTTTGATGGCTATTTCGTCGCAGATACTCAATATAGGATCGTCAGGTGCATTTGTAATCGAACCAGACCCCAAGATATTTGAAAGACATAGAATGAGTGATCGGTTTACCCAAAAGTTGAAGCTCAGGTTGTGCTGGGCAATGCTTCCAAGAAAAAAACGACCAACTCAGTTTTCTCCGTGAAGAATTCGATACCTAGCTGGATAGCCCTAGTAGAAAAATTGTCTAAAGTATCCTGTAAGGGTCCTTGCAGGTCGACCTCTTTGGGCCCTGCCATAGACACTACGCTGTCATCTGAAAGTTGTCTCAACGTGCGTTGTCTCTGAGAAAATTGTCAATTTCTCTGACGTATAAATTATACAAAAGCGGACTTTAACATGAACCCTGGGGAGACCCAGGAGAAGCATATGTTTCTCTGACAGCAAATTGTACAAAAAGTTATTAATTGATGGAGAAAGGCCACAGTAGTAGAGCTTGTCTGAAAGGACTTCAACCGATACTGAATTAAAAGCCCCCTTGATATCCAAGACCTTTGCTCTTTCTTAGCAAAAGCCAACTGAATTTCAATGGAAAGCAACGCGAGACAGTCGTTCGTTCTCTTGCCCCTACGGAAACCAAATTGAATATCTGAGAGTAGGTGGTTCGTCTCAACCCATTTGTCCAGGCGAAATTTCTCTAACAATTTTCGAATGCACGACAACATCGCGATGGGACGATACGAATTGCAATCTGAGGCGGGTTTTCAGGCTATAACTCACACTTGCCTCCAATAGAGTGATGCAAAATTTGAAATTTTCGCTCCACAATACTTAAACGATTCCAAATCGGATCCTGACTAACCTCTCACAATTTGAACCCATTTGGTAAGAAACTGAGATGGCACAAACCATTTGAAGTTTGTATGGGAATTACTATGGTAAAACCAAGATTTTTTTTCATGTCGATCTAATAATTCACCATATCGGTCTGCTTCAAAAACTTTCAACTGTACTTGTAGGAAATTTTCCCAGCTACAACTTTGATGAAGACCACTTTTTGATTAAATGCAAGGATCGAAAGTTATCCATGGTTCAATGCGCTGATGTCTTATGATAATGCTCAATCAACTGCTCAGCAGGCAACATTGGTGTTTCTGGGGCGTTGAATAGGACACAAAAATCATGGCTACTATGTCACACTGCAAAATACAGTGTTGCCTACAGAGCAGTTTCTTGATCATGTCATAAGTTTACCAATCTCTTAAATAATTAATAACTTTTTCCCGTCTCGTTTTAAATAGAAACGATCTTCAGCAAAGTTGTAGCTGAGAAAATTTTCTATAAGAATGGCTATCGAACTGTCTCGCAGCTCAATATGGAAAAACACTAGAAGGCAATGAACAAAAAGTAGAAATTTCCCATAGTAATTTACATGTAAACTTCAAATGGCTTGTGCGAAGTCTGTTTCTGCAAATGAGTTGTAACTTTGGGAGACTAATCAGGACCCGATTTGAAACCATTTAAGCACTGTGGAGTGAAAAAGTCAAATTTTGCATCAGTCTAGCCTCCAATCATCCGGGACAATATTGAGCTGCAGGAACTGACAAACCAAGTTCAACACAAAATCCGAAACTGAATACAGTTTGTTGTGCGGAATCATGGATTTTTACGAAGAATCCATTAAGCAGGCAGCTACCGAAAATATGGAAACAGAAGATACACACAAAGAAGATGATCTTCTGCAGAGTGTCTCGATGGATGATGTTGGAAGTGGGGGATCTGTCTCGTCTTCCATTCTGAACTCTAAAGATGAAGACGACGGGGTGAATGTCACCATTACGGAGAAACGAAATGAACAACAACAAAGCGAGTCAAAGCCAGTCTTGAAGCGAAGCCAAAGCTAAGTGGAGCGAAAAAGAAGCGGTTCAAGAAATTGCTGCTGAGTGGGCATGGTCGAGAGGAAGCGCTTTCGATGGTACTATTTCCCCCAAATGTGTCTACACCGAAGAGACAAAGGAACATCAACAGCAGTAACAACAGTGACGGAAATCCTATCCCTAAAAAGTAAAAGGGACGTCTGTGAATAAAAGGATGGAACATATTAGGCAAGAGCAATCAGTTGGTCAAAATCCGACCTACAGTGACGTGGCCAAATGGGTAAGGGTAGGAATTATGCCAAAGAACTATCCACAAATCCAATTGACGATGGAACAGATGTACGTCGTGCAGGAGGCCATACATCAAAAGGTCACACAGCAAAGAAGAGAGTTCTTCAAACCGAAATTCATTTACTGTTGGCAACGAACTGGACATCTAGTGATTAATTGCCAAGACACGGAAACGGCGGATTGGCTAGATTCTGTAGTTCCTATGCTTACTCCATGGGAAGGCGCAGAACTAACGGTAATCGACGCGGACGACATCCCAAGATTTAACGTGATGACTGGCTTTTTCCCTCAAAGCACGAACGACGATAATGACACTATCCTGGTTTTCATAGAGAGCTAAAACGATGGCTTGA